CAGCTCTTCAGCTCAAGGCGAGCGCTCTACCACTTGAGCTACAGCGCCACTTCCGGTTTTCTGGTGGTTTATTGGAGATAGGAGTCTCACGGTCTCGGGCTGGCTTTGAACCGCGATCCTCAGATCTCAGCCTCCTGAGTAGCTAGGATTACAGGCGTGAGCCACCAGCGCCCGGCTACATTACTTATATCTTAAAATCTTATTTTGATGTTAGATCAAAATCTTTATATATATGACATGCTCATAAAGGCAGACTTGCCCAATAAATAATAGAGAGTAGACAAAGAAATATACAATGTTATGCCTAGATATATATTTGCATATATATAGTATATATATGATGTAGATGTACTATGTATGATGTATATACACTACATCTGATCTATATACTGTGTACAATACATCTACATACTATATATGTGAACAAATTCATACATAGGAATCAAACATATGAAAGTATTGACAAAGAATTGAAAACATGTATTCCTTGAATAATCAGATACTTTAATAAACTTATTTCTTCATGTAATGGCAGCAGCTAGGAGGAGGGAGGTTTGGTTGTTGTGTACACAGAACAAGCCCACTTTCCCTTAACAGAATGCAAATATATCTCTATGTGTGTCAGTGTATTTATCAATAACACCCACAAAAAGCGGGTTGGCTCTGTGTTTGGGATTCTTGCACTTTACAGCAAAGGAAGAAAGCAGAGCAGAAGGGCAGAAACATCCTAGTTAGAATCAATTCCTGCAGAAGCTTGTCACATCTTGGCTGGGGATTTTCAGCGTGTACAGCTCTGCCGCCTTTCATTTCTACCTATATAAGTGAACTACTGATTCAGATCTAACTATTTAGAAGGAGACTAAAAGAAGAATGCCTGGCACTTGGCCAGTGGTTCTCAACCAGGCGCAATTTCGCCCCTCGGGGACCCTTGGCAGTCAGTGTGTCTGGAGCCATTGGGGGATGGGAGCAGCTGCTATGTCCAGTGGCCCAGGTCCTGCTCCACATCTTGCTGTGGGCAGGGCAGCCTCCCTGGCTTGCCCAACAAACAATTGTCTGACCCAGGATAATCAGCATCAGCATTGTAGGTCAAGCAGGAAAGCTGAATCTGGTAGTGGTGATCTTAAGCTGTGTAGGGGTAGAAGAACAGAATCACAGAGATTTTAACATCTGTTTGCTAACTACAAACAAATGCATTTCAGAAGTTTCAGTGACTTCTTTTCAGCATACTTCATGATTTCATATGATGCGGCCAATTATAGAATCTTTATACAAACTGACAGGTCAATGGCTGTAATTAAGTAAATAAATATATACGCCTTCACAAATGTTGCTAACTTTTATTATGAAATGCAAGCAAGGAATCTACGAATCTTTCTAATGATCATTGAGACGTTTCCCCAATTACTAGCTCTTCTTTATGACCTTCATAAATATGCATTGGTTTCCTGGTTTAGTTCTGATTTATTTTTCCTGTTCTTAAAAAAAAATCTGCGGACACTTTAAACCATTTAGTAAAATGATCACTGTTCTTATAATGAGTAACATATTAATTTTCCAGTAAAGGAAGGTTAGTTGTTGTTTTTTTTTTAAAGGAAGTTTTTTTTTGTTTTGTCGTTGTGGAGCCTGAACTCTGGGCCTGGGTGCTGTCCCTGAGCTCTTCAGCTCAAGGCTAGCACTCTACCACTTGAGCCTCAGTGCCACTTCCAGCTTTTTCTTCTTATATGGTGCTGAGGAATCGAACCCAGGGCCTCATGCATGCAAGGCAAGCACTCCACCACTGAGCCATCTTCCCAGCCCAAAGGAAGGTTGTTTTTGAAACCCCTCAATGCTGGGAAGATACAATGCCTGCTCTCAGAGTCACAACAAAAAAATCCAGAACACACACACTATGTGATTCTCTACCATTAAAGCTGCCAACAGGTCAGGTGCTGGTGGCTCATGCCTGTAATCCTAGCTATGCAGGAGGCTGAGATCTGAGGATCATGGTTTGAAGGTAGCCTGGGCATGAGACTCTTATCTCTAATTAATCATTAAAAACACCATAAGTGGAACTGTGGCTCAAGTGTTAAGTGCTCAGGGACAGCACACACACACACACACGCACACACACACACACACACACACACACACACACACACACACACGCTGTCACTTGGCACATGCCTCCTCCCTCTAACCTCTTTTTTGGTGGCCACAGATGCTTGTCAGCCTGATACAAACACCAAGAGGATGCATTTAAAATGTGTAAATAAAACACACCAATCTTTTATGAAAGTTGAGCTTTAACACATTCTGTACAAGTTGGTTTTTTTCCCTATTCTAAAATCTTACTGGTAGGCTCTTGGTGGCTATAAGCTCAATGGTCAAGATCACTGGATGAAATCCGGTGTGGCTAGTTATAATCAGATCTACATTATAATGTTGGCATTTTGTTGGATCTAATGATTTGAGGCAGTGATCATTTAAGGATTCATAGAGTGATGGGTGAGTCAAATGAAGAACAGAATGTTTTTATTTACTTTTATAATTTTAAGTAGTTGGTACATGATGGCTGGTCATTGTCATTTTTGGTATTTTGACAGACTGTATACTTTAGAAGGAAAACTGGTCGAGAGCGGGACAGAGCTGGAGAATGGGCAGTTTTACGTGGCTGTCGGCAGAGATAAGTTCAAGAAATTGCCTTATAGTGAACTACTTTTTGACAAGTCGACAATGAGAAGGCCTTATGGGTAAGTCTTCTGCCTGTGCGCTTGCTCATGCTTCAGTTGTCACTTAAAATAGCACTAGGTCTTTTGCTGACTGCTCACGTGTTTTGTTTAACTGATAATCTTGTTTATAAAAGTAAATAATTTTATTTTAGAAAGTATGCATGACATATATTGATCTTTGTTTTATTGCTGTGAGAGATGGAGATCTATTCTGATAAATTTTTTGGAATTTATGAAAGATTACATAGTATTTTTAAAACTCTCATCAGTTTAGAGTAAATATAAAGATTTATTCTTGTTTCACTTAACATCAGATTATATGGTCATATGTTTTACCTCTTCTGCTTGTCCTAGACATATACTAGTTATTGCAGATAAAGGAAACCACGGGACCTGTGGTTTTTTGTGGTCTGGCTTACTTCACTTAATATAATTTTTTCAAGTCTTTCCATTTCCTAACAAATGGGGTGCTGCCATTCTTTCTGATGGAGGCATAGAATTCCATCTTTTTAATGTACTTATAATGTACTATGTGATTTTTTTTTGTTTCTTTGTATGTTCTTCCCCCATGGTGCAACCCCTATTGTCACTGTATTTGATTCCGGTGTTCTGCATCTTGTATATACATTTTTCTAATTTGGGGAGGGGAAGGGAAATAACAAAATGCTGAAATAAGGATACAGGATGACACATTGTAACAAGGAGATGTATAAAACACTATGTTGAAAATGAACTTTACAATGCTGGGGGGGAGTAGTTGGGGAGGTGGGGAGGAAAGGGATGGTAGGGGAAAAACAAAAGGAGGGGGTAACAATGCTTGATAGGAAATGGACTCATTACCTTGCTCATGTAACTGTAACTCCTCTGTACAGTATCTTGACAATAAAAATATATATTAAAAAAGATTTATTCTTGTGATGATAACAGCTTCTCTACATACATCTTGTTTTGTTTATGGCAGTGCTGGGATTTGAACACACACTTGCTATGCATTCATTCTATGACTGATCTACACCTCCAGCTGTTCTATATAAATCTTATTGAAAGTTTTAGCGGCTAGGTACTGGTGGCTCACTCCTGTAATCGTAGCTACTCAGGAGGCTGAGCTCTGAAGACCCTGGTTCAAAGCCAGCCTGGGCTGAAAAGCTCCTGAGAGACTCTTATCTCCAATTAACCACGCAAAAACCAGAAGTGAGGCTGTGGCTCAAGTGGTATAGTGCTAGCTTGGAGCACAAAGAGGCTCGGGGACAGCACCCAGATCCTGAGTTCAAGTCCCACAACCAACCAAAAAAAAAAAAACTAAAAAAGAAGAAAGTTATACCAAATAATGTTTTTGTTGGTTTGAATAAAAACATCAAAACACACTAGAAAAACCCTCACAATATTTTACAAATTTTTGAATATTTGTAAAAAATAACAGCAATATAATTCCATGTACATAAACGAATTAGGAGGGTAAATATGTAGTAAATACTTGCAAAATTTTAAGGATTACACATTAATCATACAGAATATACCATCAGCTTATTTCCCCATAAATTCCCTATGTTTATGGAAGAGGTCTTGTATTGCCATACAGATGGGCTGCACAACTGTAAATGGTGACCACACAGGTCCTTTGGGTCTGCTATGGTGCCCTAGGTCTCATGTCTGTGACTTTCCATAGAGATTCCAGGGCTACTGTACCCTTGGAAATGGAAATTCTTATGACAGAGATAGAGCGAAGAGCATAGAGGATAAATAGAGATAGGGGGAGACATCACCAACGTGTTTTCCATGAATTCATAATTTGTGAGACCTGTTTGGTAGGTGAGTTGAAGATTCTTAATAAGTCATAGAGGAAATGGAATTCCAGAGCTGGTGGTTTGAGCAATGTGAGAGCACACCATTTTTTAGTGCATTAGAATTCTTTATGAGCAGGCTTCTTGCTAACTATCCTTACTCATCCATGAAATGAAAGTCCTTTAACAATTTCTGCTAAGCAATGCTGGACTAATCTGCTGGGAACTACAAGGTAGATTTGAGGGTAATGGGAAAACTGTGACTCATGTTTGGTTTTTTTTTCATACAAATTAACACAATTTACCTTTATAAATATGATCTATTTTGGAGATATTCAGTTGGGTTTCTAGGTGGGTGTTTTCTTAAATCACCTGCAGTCTAAAGAAGAGTTATTACTATTACTACCATTCAAATTCTTGGTAACCATGATTGGTTTGAAGAACTCCCTGACTATAAATGCCAGTGTCCCATTGCTCCCTTCTATCACAGGTAGGAGACCATGAAAACAATGAAAAAGTCTTGTTTTTAATTCAGCCTGGAAAAATCATGCCTTAGTTTGGAACATGAATTTTTTTTATGACATGCAAATGAAAACATTTGGGGATTTGAATAAAGATGTGAGAAAGTTGATGTGTAGCATTCATCAAATTATTATACAGAAAAACTTTTGAAGTAGTTTTGGAATGGTTGGAGATTTTTAATATGTTTTTTGTTGTATAAATACTGTACGGTTATAGTTACATGAATAAGGTAATGAGTATATTGCCTATGGAGCATTGTTACCTCCTCCTTTGTTTTTCCCCTATCATCCCTTTGGTTGGAGATTTTATAGGAGTCTTTTATGACATTGGGAATGTGTTATGGTCCCTCCCATGGAATGCAAATGTCAATAAACAGGTGGGCTGGGTGATAGGTTGGGGTGATGGTTATCTTGCATTATTCATTACCTGTAAATAACATTCACAAGTCTGCATTGCAATTTGTTTCCACAGTCAGAAAGCCTCTTCTCTGCCTCCTATTGTAGGATCCAGAAGGTCTAAAGGGAGTGTAAGTATCAGATACTTATTAATGTCCTATATTTCTAGATGAAAGATTGTCCTTTGGGCTTCAATTAAATCCAAAGAAATAAAACATAACTGCCTCATAACATGGAAGCAATTATGTGAAAGCATAAAGACCTAAGCTTTATCATTACAATTCACATTCTAAGATATAATAATTGTAGAATACCGATTTCAGTTTTTCCTCTTGTATATGTATCTGGTCTGATTTCTGTCAGGGCTTGAGATCTGAGCAGTAACATATAAATATATAAATCACTGAGTCATATCCATAATCAGCCCAGTCTAGTTTTCTCTCTCTGACAAAGACGAGAAGGAAGTTTTAGTAAGAAAATGGTAATCCTAATGTATTGCGCCAAAAGACTGAGAGTCATCCCAAGTAGAAGTGCAAAACCCAATCTAAACAATAAAGCAAACATGGCTGGGGCATCGCTCAAGTGGTTGGACCACCTTTCTAGCAAAAGTGAGGCCTTGAGTTTAAACTCCAGTTCCCTCTGAGACAACACAAACACAGAGAACACTCTAAAATGTACACACGAATCAAAGAAGAGAGCCTGGAAAAGCTCAAAATACAAGCTAAACACCAAGTGTGTGGTGAGATCAGCAACGGCGACAGAGACAGAAGGATTAGATGGGTGATGGCGGTTCAGGAAGCTAGATGTGAGGGCTGCCTTTGAGGGTCATTTAAGAATCTGGGGAAGGTAGAAGAGGGAAAAAGAGACCTCAAAGGCGCCTAGTGTGAGGAAAGGAAATGGGCATGCAGAAAAGCCATCATGCTGGCCATAATTAGTGACTCTAGAGAGCTCAGCCCTAAGCCAAGTTCCTTCCAGAAGCTACAGAGTAAAAAGCTAAATAAAATGGATGAATTTTGAGCTTATACATTGTATCTTGTTTCCTGTTTTTTTTTTCTTAAACACTCTTTTATTTTACACATTGTATCCTCACCCCACAAGGCAGGTACCTTTGTTATCCACATTTAAAATGAGGAAAGGAAGCAGGAAGAGTCCAGAGCAGAGAAGAGGCTGAGCCACATGGCCTGCCCCCAGGTCCTGCTCCTGACTCCTGCACACAATGAATCCCTCCGGCTGTCCGGAGCCAGTGGTCCCCTCCCAGGTAGAGGGTGATGGGCCTCTGTGTGACCTCACAGGCCAGAATGAAAAGTCACATCTGTGTCCTTGAGTTGCAAGGGGGTATGAAGGCCTCTGAGACGTGAGAGTTGGCATCGGAGTCCATCTTAGGACCCCCTCATTTTTTCCTTTTTAAAGACGTTAAGACCTCCTGGAGTGAGAATCTGCAATTAAGTCATCAGTTATGAGGCCACTAGTATGCAATGATAAGTGCGTAAATTGGGGAGATGGCAGAGGCAGCTGGAAGTGATCAGAGTTTATGAAGAAATGAAGGGCTGGCTTGACCATTGCTACATAGGCTAATGGAAGGTTGGAGCCAAAAATAACCACAGGACTTTAAAGCTTGGCTACCTCCCAGAGAAGAGGGTAGTCCTTTGGCCAGCAAAAGGAAAGTCAGGATGTAATGACCTACTTTATTTCAGACATGTTGCATTGGAAGTGTTAGGAAATCTAGTTGAAAGCATTCAGCACACAGCGAGACCTGTGGAGGACATCCTGGCCATGTAGGGATCTGAGCTGCCAAATAATGGTTTTAGTGTGATTACCCGGGACAGCTTGGTATGGACCAGGCAGGTTTCAATAGTGTCTGTGTATGTGAGGGGGGAGGGGGTGGAGAGGAGGGGGGAGGGGAGGGGGAGAGGAGGGAGAGAAGTGAGGGGAGAGAGGAGGGGGGGAGAGAGAGGGGAGGGGAGGGGAGAAAGGAGAAGGAGAGAAAGAGAGATATAGGAGAGAGAGAAGGAGAGGAAAGGAGAGAGAGGAGAGAGGAGAGGGAGAGGAGAAAGAGAATGAGTGGGAGAGAGAAGAGAAGAGAGAAGATGAGAGGAGAGAAGGGGATAGAGAGGAGAGAAGAGAGAGGAGAGAGAGTAGGGGGGGGAGAGGGAGAGAGAAAGAGAAAGAGAAGGGGTAGAATCACAGAGATGGGAATATCCAGGCTTGGAAATAACCTCCCAGGATGGAGAGGAAGAGGAATAAGACACTAGTAAACTGAAAAAATATATTTTGTCATTAAAAAGCTAGCTAAACTCCATTAATTTAGGGGTTGAAATTTGTCTTTTGCTCTCTTACTTTTCTTTAGGACATTGTAGTAGCAGGATGCTTTTTGCATAGCTTATAAGCATTAGCAGTGGAGGTTAAAAAGAGACCCCGTGTCATTGAGTAACCCAGAGTCATGGGACGGTGCCTGTCAAGAAGGTCATAACCCGACTCTTTACATTTACTTGACTTTAGAGTTTTGTGTTTACTATCAGGAAATTTGAAAATCTAAACTTGCCATTAAGAGCTGCAGCATGTTTTTGATTTGAAAATGCACGTGCAAGTGCAATTTTTTTTTCTTACTGGTTTAGGGAATTTTTAGTATCTGCCGTAATTACTGGCTCATCTCATGATGAATGCTGAGTGAATTTCTGGGTGTCTGGCATGATAATGGGTTCTAGGGAGAAAGCGATGAGCCAAAATGATCAATATGAACAGTCAATTTGAGGAGAGAGTGAATAAACCAATGATTTCACAAATCATTATGTAATTACAAAGTATGATAAAAGTGAAAGAGCAAACCCCAGCAATATGAAAGTCGAGAAAGGGAAAACAGGTCCAGATCATGTATCAGGACAGGCCTCACTGAGGGAGTGGCTGTGAAACAGACGGAAAGTTCTCAGGTATATTCCCATCCTATAGGAGGTGAAGGGTCACAATTGTCAAATGTGTTTGCTCTCTGTGGCTTAAAAAATGAATTGCTGAGTCTGTCCCTCTTCCTTTAATGTTTGCTAGTACTCTGGATATCCATCCATCCATCCATGTATTCATCCATCCGTCCATTTACCCATTCTTCCATCTTTCCTTCCTTCCATCCACCCACCCACCCACTCATCCATCCATCTTTCCTTCTTTCCATCCATCCATTTTTCCATTTATCCTTTTACTATTCTAGGCATGAGTATATGGTGGTGAAGAGACAGTCAAGGACTTGGGCCTTACTGAGAGTCCCTTCTGGTGTGTGTGTGTGTGTGTGTGTGTGTGTGTGTGTGTGTGTGTGTGTGTTAGGTAGACCATTAACTTGCCAATATAAAAATACTTACACAGTGCTAAGAGCAAGCTAATATGTGGCAGGGCACTATAGCATATTAAGTTCTCTGAGGCCGAGACCTTAATTCTATAAAGGAATCAATTGTGCAAGGAGAAGGTCAGGATAAAAGTAATTCTGGCAGAAGATGCAAGCTATCCAGGCCATTGGTACAGAGCTTGTCAGTGAACATGCACGAAGAAGGCTAAGGTGGCAGGGAACTGGTGGTTTAGGCCTGTTATCCTAGCTACTCAGGGGGCTGAGATCTGGAGGATTTTAGTTCAAAGCCAACCTGAGTGGAAAAGTCTACCAGACTCCATTCCCAAAGTAATCATCAGAAAATCCATGCTGGAGGTATTGTTTAAGTGGGAGAGCACCAGCTGTGAGCCGGGAAGCTGAGTGTGTATAAGGCTATTTGTTTGAGTCCCACTACAGGTAAATAAAGAAGAAAAAGGAAAAGAAGGGCAGGGTAGTCTGAGCTGAAGTTGGAGAGGCCCAATCATGTAGGTTAGTTTGGATTAGATTCCTTGATTAGATGCCATTTGAGGGTTTTGAAAAAAGAAGTGAGGGTTGGCCATGGTGGTGTATGCCTGTAATGCCTACTGTTCAGGAAGCAAAGATAGGAAGATTGCCAATAAAGGGTGGCCTAGGTATAGACAACCCCAAAAGTAAAAGGACTGGACTATGGTACAAGTGATTGACTGGCAAATGTTAGGTCCTGAGTTTACCAGTGCTGAATAAAGAAAAAAAAGATGGAATAAAAGAAAAGATGGAAGTAATTATTATTTGATTTATGCTTTTCAACATTCATTCTGGCTTTGGTCTATAGAGAAGAAAGTCTGGGCAAAAAAAGAAGCAAGAGGCAAAAAGATGATCAAAGTTCATTATGTGACTGAGGTGACTTGGACAGGTTGGCCACATAGATGACAGGCAGCTATGACAAATCTACTTTGTGTGCAATCAATGGCATTGATTCACTCAGCAGCCCTTTGTTGAGTATATATTTTACCCTGAGTACTGTTCTTGTGCTGGGGTTGGGGTGGAGGGTGTTCTCAGAGATTCCAGAGCACTAAATGTACAGAGGCTATCTTCCAACAGAGGAGAGTGATACAGACAGATTCACCACACCCCTGATAGCAATCAGCGTTGAGATCGTAGAGGAATCCATCTGTCTGTCTGCCTATGGAAGAGGCCTATGCCTGCTGAGTGGGAGGGACTTCCTTGAGGAAGTTCCAGGTGAACTGAAGAACATAGGTTCTCACTAAACCTTTTTATGGTATGTGTGAATGTTTGGCAGGAAGCCAACACAGAGAAAATGTCCTATGCTGGGAAACCCAAAGTCACAAGCTCATTTTTTTTTTTTTTTTTTTACCAGCAGGATCAATTTACTCCTTTCTTTTAATTAATAGGTTCTCTGGAGAATGCAGTGTTTTATAGATCATTAACTGCCTGGCCTTGAGAGAAGAGAGTATGAGCAAAGGGGCATGGTGTAGGGAGAGCTGATTTTTCTAACTTTAAGAACCACTGTCAAACCGACGAGGAAGCATTCCTGAACTCAGAGGGGACCCATAACTAGATTTTTTGAAATTTATGTTTCCTATATAGCTTTCTAGGAATTGTTTAATTGAAAGAAGAGAATGTGTGGGTGTGTCTGTGGAGGATAGACAGACAGAGACAGAGAAGTGCTACAGAGGTGCACAGGGGACCTTCTGATCCCAAGTTGAGTTGGTCAAGTTGCCCAGTGCAGCTGGACTTGGGGTGGAATGAGAAACGGAGGTTCAGGATGACGCATGTCTGCGAAGCACTATCTAGACTGACAGTTAGGAGAGACACAGAAATTATCCAGTTGAGAATAAGTGTAAGTGGTGATTTTATACTTAAAACATAAAAACATAAACAAAAGGAAGACATTAAGTGAATTGTCTTGTGTTCTGCTGAGTTCAGAAAAATAAACCACTCCTTCAAAGGAGGTCCTTTAAACTGTGGAGACCTCACCACATAGGATCAAGGTGCCCTCTAGTGGAAGAGAAGTAAAATTAAGACAAGTCCTGGAAGACAAAACTGGACTATGTAGTGTTCCTTGCCTGGGACAGTAGGAGAAAGCTTAAATCAGACGTTGTTGTGGAGAGCCATACTTACCTACTAATCTGGTAAGCATTTGTGTTGATATGCACATAGCACATGGGTGCTCTATTTTATCTACTAGCAGAGCTGTGTGAGTGAAACTCCCCAATCACCCAAAACTCCTTCAATGATTACCTTTGTATTCAGGTCCCATGACACAGGTTGAGACTCAAAAGTAGCAAAGATGGGCCGCTCCCCACGCTTCACTATCTCCCCAGAACCCTACATCTGATTTATCTATCACATATAGTTTACACAATAAAGTATTAAAGCATATATGTGTATTACATAATTTATACATTCATGCATAATTTTCTATACATTTGTTTATTTTAAGTTTTATTGTGAGGGTAATGTACAGAGGGGTAACAGTTATGTGATTCAGGAAATGAGTATATTGAGTCAGGCCACCTCCCCTTTCCCCTTTAAAACAAAAAGCATTTGAATCATTTCCTAGCCTCTAAATACAAAATAATTCTTTCCTTTCTCTGTTTCATTTACCTTTTATTCACAAAGTGCCCAGAGATTAGTTATTGAATGAATGAGTGAAAGTCACTTGTCAAAGATACAGTTGTTTGAATCAGCTAGTCTTTTTTTTTTTAAAATCACCTTTGAGTGCCCCTATCAGAAATGAAGTGATTTGTAAAATGATACCCATCCCCTGGCATTACAGAATAGCTTTTTGCTTTTCCCTGTTACTTTCCCCAGAGAGCTACAACACACACACACACACACACACACACACACACAAGTGGAAAGTAAGGGTGGTGGGAATGGGAGTAAAAGAGGAGCTCAATCTAAATAAAATACTGCACATGCATGCATTTTTACCACAGTGCAACCATTTTAAACATTTAACATACACGAAAACAATAAAAGACAGGAATGTAAAACAAGTCCTGTCTGAGGTATGAATACTCGTGGGAAGGTGAAGCCCACATAGAAGGACAGAAGAAGGGTGAATACGGTTGAATACCTGATTTGCACACGTGTGTGAACAGGGAACAACCGAAACCTCTTGCCCTTGGCTTGGGAAGGGGAGGAGGAGGAAGGAGAGTGATCAGGTTTTGTGGGGTGGGGGGGAGTGCGTTTGATCAAGATACATTGTATGCATATAGGAAATCCTTACACAGCTATTCTAATGAAAAATGTAAAAATAAGCAAAAAAAACCCCACCACCACCAAGAAAACAAACCAAAACCAAAATCAAAAACCAAACCCCAAAATGTCCGTGGCTGGGCTTCTGGGTTTCTCAATGACAGGGCTTCATTCTCATCCTTGAAAGTTTCACACCATTACTGCGGCCTGTTTTCGTTCGTGTGCTTTTGTTTTCTAAGCTAGAGTCTCGCACTGTAGCCCAGGCCTCAGATTTGCTATCCTCCCCTCTCTGTCTCTCAAGTGCTGCTACTACAGGTATATGTCATCACACGGGTACATTTTTGGTTTTCTTCTTGGGCTTGGGATCAAACCCTGAGCCTTATGGATGCTAGGCAATTGTTCTTGCCACTGAGCGGAATCCCTAGACCTCCTTGCCATCTGTGAAGGGTTTGCTTCTCTTATCCAAAGCTTTTATAATTTAAACTTTTTTTGGTGTGAATAGACTCCATTGAAAATAGACTAAAATATGGAACTTGGCTGATGGTTTTGGAAATTTCACTATATTAACGTTATCTGTTTTTCTTTGCCAGTTTATGGCCTTGCAAAAAAGTCACTGAAAAAGAAAAGGGGGAAAAAATCTCTGGTTGTAGTTAATGCAATAATTAAATGGAAACTGTATGTCTAAATTGCAGTAGGAACAGGAAATTAAATTATGCAAAAAGCATTATAGATTTGGACAAGTTTTCATACTGTTAATAAATCTATGCATAATTCATTTTCTTGTAGGCTATGACAAACTAGCATAAATAACTTCATTTGTAAGGCTGTGAATTTCTCTGTTCTTAATTGGGTGATGGCTAAAACCATTTAACTGCTTCTGGATGACTGAATATATAAATGTTTAAAATAAGCAGTTATAATAGGTTTCTGGGCAGATTTGTTTATTTAGCATCACTACATGTATTTGCAGATTCTAGCCTAGTACAGATGTGGCATAAAGATTTTACTCAATATGGCGGGAGTTTGAGACTATGTTTAGGAAAAGTTGTTTCTTCTCTGCTCTTGGATTAAGCCCTCTGATGCTCCTTGTGAAGCATCTATTCATCCCTTCATCCTTCTGAGGGACTTGGAAGGTGGGTACAATAGCCCACTCCACCTATTAAGGTAACTGAGGCCCAAATGAATTTGATGTTAGGTAGCGCTTGGTCCCAGAGATGTTAACAACAGCAGGAGCTCTGAGCCAGGTATTTTGAGTCTTGAAAATGTTCACTGTTTCTCCTACCTGCAGCTTCATACGTTAAACAATCAGGTGAGTTTAGCACCTGAGAGCCATGCTGTCTTATTAGAAGGGAGGGAGGGTCAGGACAAAGGCCGGGCACCAGTGCAGTAGCCACCTGCGGTAGTGGCTGTTATATGACTTTCCAGGCACTGTACTAGGGCAGTGACAGGGGCTGCTGAGTCCTCCTGGAGCGGGCGTCAGGTCTCCTTGTGAGCTGCATGTGGGGCCAGGGGCAGTCAGCAAAGGTTTGTTTGACCAGGGGACCCCATCTGCAGCATGGAGTGGGGCCCATGTGGCTCGAGTCTGCTTGTATGATGTTGACACCTGCACTTGACAGCTAGGTTAGAAGCTATTTATTACATTAACTGATCCAGCTGGGGCTACCATTCCCCATCCAACAGACACTGGCCACATTTTCAGAAGAGTCCAGGATTAGGGGATGGGTGACACACTCATCTGCTGCTGGTGGCTCTGGAGGTAGATTGCTCCCATTCCTTCCTGGCTTGCAGACTGTAGGCAAGGCTGCATTCTAAGCTTCATTGCCACACAACGTTTGTGTGAGGTGTGAAGGAGCAGTTTGTTATCTTGGTTTTGAGGAGTTGGGAATCGAACTCACAGATTTGTGGCATGTGAAGGTAGTGTACTAAAACTGAGCTACCCCTCTACCCCAGCTCCTAGAGAAAGACCTAGTGCATATGAAGTGTTTAAGAATGGTTTGCAATTGTTTGTGCTTCTTCCTTTGCTGATCTTTCTTCTTCTAAAGAGGTATACTTGGAGCTAGTGTGGTGTAAAAATGGGCAGTCACAAGATCTATGCCCCTCCCTGACTTGTTGATCACAAGTTATTGACCCGCAAGTACTGAGAAGCCCCTCTGGGAATTCATTAGCTAATCACAGGGTCCAATCGTTTGCCATTTAGGGGAATGATCGCCAGTCTAAGTCAACAATTGGATCCAGCGACAACTCCTCTCCTCAGCCCCTGAAGAGGAAAGGGAAGAAAGATGTGAGTGCCGAAAAACCAACCAAAGCAAAACAAAGCATGAAGTTGAAAGGAATCACAAACAATGGTATGTTTGTTATGGTGTTACTCTTATGTATCCTTATTTCCTTGAGAATATGGTGAGATTTTTAACTCTGAAATTGGTATGTTCATGACTCTGGTCCTTGTATTCAAAGAAGACCCTGAGAGGAGCTGTTGCTGGTTTTGCTCAGTTTTTGTTTTTTGTGTTTTTGGTATTGAGATGCTATATCCTGGGGACATTTGTTTTGAGATCAAATGCTTCTTAAGGTGGTCCTGTAAAAAGCCAGAAAATTTGTCCTCCTCTGCTTCTACTCAGAGTACTTGGTCAATATTCATATCAATTATTATGACATTGGTCTCTCTCATCTGTGGTCTGTAAACCTTGTGTACACACACACACACACACACACACACACACACACACACACACACACACACATTTGTGCCAGTCCTGGGACTTGAACTTAGAGCCTGGGCACTGTTCTTGAGCTTTTGTGCTCTACCAACTGAGCCACGCACCCACCATTTCTGGCTATTTTGGTAGTTAATTGAAGACAAGAGTCTCACAGGTTTATCTTCTCAGGTTGTCTTAGAACTGATTCTCAGATCCTAAGTAGCTAGGATTATAGCTGTGAGCAACCAGTGCCCGGCTATCTTTTTTTAAAAAGACTTCGTTATTAGTATTATTAATTGCACAGAGGGGCTCATCACAATCAAACTCATTTCTTCCCTCATGCTTTTTTACTCCTCTTCCTCTCCCTCTTAAAACAGTTTCAACTGATTTCATTCTTTTTTATTTCGTTCTTTCTTTTTTATTGAACTCAGGGCCTCAAGCTTACTAAGCAAACACTCTACCACCACAGCAGCTTCATGGTTCTATTTTCTTCCATGCTTACCATGATTCACCTTTCCTGAAAAGATGCTTCCTTGATTTAACTGATCCCAAGAGAATACCAGTCGCATAAAATTTACCAACGAGCAAAAAATAATCTATCCAAATTAGTTAAGTCCTTTTATCTTTTCCTAACAGGTAAGAGACAATATAAAATAAAAATGTAAAAGAGTTTGCATTAAGTCTGGGATTTCATTAGCGTGAGGGAAAAGTGAGATGAATATGGTGGATTTTTCCCATGAGGTTGGTATGAAGAGAGTCTATTTTTTGGTTTTGTTCCAAGTGTGTGTTGAGCAGGGTGAACTGGTGACAGTGGAGAGATGTAGGGATAAGGAGGCAGGAACAGACCAACACGGAGGCCCCACCTCCATGCTCACACCGCCCCCTACTAGTGAGGCATGGTGGGGGGCTCAGGGAGAGGATGGGTGGGATCGATCAGGTCTCACTTAGTGAGAGGCCTTCATTTATTTCCAAGTCAGCGTGCAGAGTCTAGTTAGCATGACCAAATTCCAGATCACTGAAGAGTCACAAGGAAGGCATGGGACTAGGTTAGAGGAATGGCTTAAATGAGTGTGCCAGCTGTCCAGAGAAGAGGGGTTTACATCCTCAAGGATTTAGGTTGATGGAAAGCAGCCACAAGTCCGGCATCTAGATTCCTTTCTAGATTCTGCTGGGCTTGAACTCTTGCCTGGGTGCTGCTTCTTAGTTTCTTTCACTGAAGGCTGTTGCCCTACTACTTGAGTCACAGCTCCATTTCTGGCTTTTTGCTGGTTAATTGGAGGTAAAGAATCTCACAGAGCTTTCTCCCCAGGCTGACTTTGATCCACAATCCTCAGATCTCAGCCCCCAGAGTAGCTAGGATTACAGGTGTGAGAACATCAGCACCCAGCCTAGATTTCTGTCCTATCTACTATTGACCTTGGGCAATCTGCTTAACCATTTTTTTTTGAGTCGCATTGTCTTTAAAATGTGGGTTTGTATTGTGATTTAAAGAATATTTGGCTGATCTTGAAATTTTGCAATCCTTTCTATGACCAGGAAACAAGAGGCCAGGATGGAATATAGTCAGCAAATGTTTATTGAGTGCTTATTAGAGTGTAGGGACCAAAGAAGAGAAGTGAGTCTGGAAGAACATGCTATACCTTCAGAATTAAAAGTAGGCTTTATTTCAATCAATAGACAGTAGATTTTGAAAGGCCCCAAAGCCATGGGCTATGTATTACCAAGACGTCTTAAATCCCCAGTGCTGACATAGATTTTATAGATATAAAGCACCTAATAAATGTTGAATGAATGATAGGAGCTAATAAATAGACGTCACTGTAATACTTTAAAACCCACTAAGTAACAGAATCCATTTAAACATTTTCATGAGTTATTGTCTAAAAGGCTTACAGAAGATATACTTTGCTTATTGTCTGTAAGGCTCTTATTAACTCACAGAAATCCCAGTTCCTACTGCCAGTATATTTTTAAAAGTCATTGGATTTAGCAGTTGTCCCTGGAAAGAAAGGGAGCAATTATCTTTCCAGGTTATATTATTTGTAGAGACTTGCGAACACAAGTCTCACTTGATAGACCCTCTAGGAAGAAACCCTTATTAGAGGGTCGATAATTTGCTTTTGTGGGCATTCACAAATAGGATGTCTGTGGACATGAAAACATCAACCTCATGTTAATATGGAATCAAGTAGTTTTCAGAAAGTGCAAGGAAGAGTGCTGATTTGATCATAGTCTTGAGAGAATCCTGCAATTGCTTTAGATAATTGCTCATCTTAAGTGGGTATTTTCCAATGTAGTTTGGTTAATGTGAAGATTATGGGTTTTAAAATGGCTCCTGCCTTTCAAATTAATGTTTTAAAGACGAAATTTCTTTTCCCCAGTAAGGGGTTTTTACTACTGATGTAGATGGTATATAGGGGAATTTAGATGAAGTGATTTGTCTATTTTCATCTGGATAGAATATCACCTGGAAAATGAATTGTGGCTTCTCAAAACATTCCTGCCCCCAACCAGGAAAACAATGGGGAAACAAGATTTTGTGCACTTCTCTTGATTAAGTTGTCACTTGATAAATTTGATTATTAGTTTGAATATATGCTATTTCGTCTCCAGATGTCCTGGGCTGTAGAAATTTTCCAGAGTAGAATATCAAGAGGTGTTTTTTTTTCTCTTTCTCTTTCCTTAATTCAATCTTTAATTTCATTTATTAGTGAAGTTGGTTTTTTTTGTTTGCTCGAATGTCACCTATATTAGAAATTTGAATCAAGTGTCTGCTTTTTGATATGTATACCTTGAGAGCTTTTAGTCTCTAGAGATGCAAAAATAGTAAGCACTTAAAGCAAATGAAAAGTGAAGGGAAGCCAAAATAATTAGAGATGAAATTGACATAGTCTTTTCCGTTTGAACTATATTAAATCGTGTTAGAAATTCGCTTCTTTGTATAAAGTGTGAAATTTTAGGATTACATTGAATATTAGCCATTATTTTATATCACTCATCACATTATGCAAATATTTGATCCAGTGTACTAGATCTATCTATCTATCTATCTTATCTATCTATTTAGTTCTACTCCTGAGGCTTGAACTCAGGACCTGGGCATTATGCCTAAACTGTTTTTGCTCAAGGCTAGGCTCTATCACTTAAGCCACAGCTCTACTTGTGGCTTTTTTTTTTTTTTATGGTCATTGAAGACTAGCTCCTCATGGACTTTCATGGTGGGGCTGGCTTTCAAACAGGATCCTCAGAACTCAGCCTCCCAAGTAGCCTGGATTACAGGCATGAGCCCCCAGGCTCATCTTGACTTAAAAAAAGGATTTTGATTGAAGTTGAGCATTATGCCCATGTTAAAAGGTATTTACAGATAGGATGTATAAATGAGCAATGCTAATGTCAGACTGTAGATGGCAACCTGAGTCTAATTTTATTTTATTTTTCCTTTTTTTTCCCTTTCTATTTTCTCTCAGTAATAGTAAAGCTTAATAATTCAAGCAAGCAGTGACATATTTCTTAAGGGAAACAAAATACTATTTTCTCTTGGTAGCCAAGATGCAAAGTAAGATTGGTTTGGTGATTGATGAAGTTGGGTGTGAAATGTGTTCTTAGAGCTGAATTTAAATATCAGCCTAAGTGACCAGAGAGTGTTTTAGTCACACTTTCCACTTGAGTTGTAATGCTTTGAGATACGTTTTAGAGGTGTTAATTGGCTATATTCTCCACTAGGAGCAAGACAGCCATGATTATTGTTTTTGAAATAGCATTATGGCTAATCAGTATATTCACTGGTGCTGTTCATATTTGACACATGAGAAAACTGGGTACCTCTAGGACTCTTAGAGCAAGGAAAGTACAGCGACTCTAGTTTAGGAGTATCAGAAGGAGTGCAAAGAAGATATAGCCTATTCTGTATTGGAGCATCATATGCTGTATAAGTACATTTTTTGTTATTGTTGTTGATTGTGAGGCTTGAATTTGAGGCTTGAGCACTGTCCCTGAGCTCTTTTGCTCAAGGCTGGCGCTCTACCACTTTGAGCCACAGTGTCACTTCTAGTTTTCTGGTGGTTAATTGGAGAAAAGGGCCTCATGGGCGCTTTTCTGCCCCAGTTAGCTTTGAACTATGACCCTCAGATCTCAACCTCCTGCATAGCTGGATAACAAGTGTGAGCCACCACCACCTGGTTTTGATCAGTACTTTTTTAATGGCAAAGTATTAAAATGTAGTAAAAAAGCACAACTTCTCTTCTTTTGAAGGATGTACAGTCTCTTTCAATTTGCACACATGTATATACACATATGTTTGTACACATAAACACACAGGCCATGCATCTACATGAGCAACAGTATTTTTGGTGATGGATGTACTTCCTGGCTTAGTTCCAAGATCTTTAATATTTCAATGTCTGATGAACGGTTTGGAGCAGGTACAATGTTGGCAAAAGGAGGCCTGAATATTATGACCTTGTTGGGTGACTGCCCTTGATCAGTCATGCCCTCGAGTTTCCTAATAGCTACAACCTTCACATGATTTGGCCTACATCGCCCCATTTACTGCCATTTATCCTCAGAGTCTCAGAGTCCTGGGGCACTGAAACTTGAGCTTCTTGGGCTCAGGTACAAACCAGCTCAGGCACTTACAAGGTTTTCCTTCACAA